GTGAGCAATCCAACTAGGTTGGTAAACTATCCGTCATTGGCTCTCCAGACTCCCACCTGAATGAGTCGTCGTTACAGTCTGGAAGCAAGCTCAAAAGCAAGGCCAAACCGAGGATAGTGCTGTGGCTAAGACAATCATCACCCAAGACACCAGGAATCGAAAGTGCCATGTCTCTTCTTAAGACTTCATAACTGCATAGAGTTAGCTTCCGGTCGCGTCTTCTCAAGGGCTGAGAACCTGAGTGCCCTTGATCGACAGACCGGATGCGGCTATGTCATCCGTACCTGGTCTATCAACCTGTTCTGTAGAGTACTCTGTATCTGGATGTACAAGGTAATGAGTGATGGACGCTAAATTGAGCCCAGGGAGATTGATCTCGGCTAGGATTTGTGTCAAAACAGACGCTGAGCTGACAGGAAAAAGAAGCAACAACAGCTTGAGTCCCTGAATCGAGATCAAAGAAGCAACTTTACCAACAAACGAAACTGAGCTGTCTTTTTCTGAGATGCAGACGAGAACCGAGCAAGAGGCGTGTGGCTGCAGCTGTGGGGTTGGCATGTCGGTCATTGCTGCGCTTTGGGCATAGTTTCGATGCAGAGCGAGGTCGCCAGGAACAGCATCGCCCAATCGTCGACACTGTTCGGAAACAATTCAATCTTTAATAAGCCAATTAACGAAGTGCCATGCTTTAACAAATTGCCTGTTGACAGGACGTCAGCCTGGGGACCAGGTGTACAAGATGCTATGGAGGGACAAGGGAGATGAAGGCCCAAGACTCACCAGTCTATTTCGAACCAAGGGGCTTCTTTTCAAGAGCTTTATAAGAAACATCAATTGACAGGCGACAGTCTTGTATGCGAACGTCATACTGAGGGTTGAAGATTCATTAGTTGTCAGTTCAAGGCCAAACTCCAGCTTGCCTGTGCCACTATTAAACGCACACGATTGATCCCGAAGCACTTTACTTCATTTCATCCTCGACCCGTCAATGCATCATCCCGACAACACCAAGGCAGCTTATAAAAAGAAAAGATTAAGGGGAAAATGTAGTACCTGCCAGCAACCCTGAGCTTGCGCGCCACTCCACATCCTGAAAACAACCGCCGACAGACGCAGCCATGGCGGCGCGGCACCATGGGTCCGGCAGTAACACATCGTTACCGCGCTCGAAACATCGAATTGTGCACAGCTGTGTGGCTCAGTTTGCTTTTGCGGTCACAGAAATGGTGCGGCGCTCCTTGCCATCCTGGTTGAAAGCAATCTCGCACTAGCAAGTCGATCCAATCACTAGGGACGTCTTTAAGAACGGGGTAAAGATAGGGGTTGCTGATTTGCCGACGCTCGAATTGCACGTAAACAAGAGAACGATCCCATCTTGCAACATCTCCCCATGGATAACCCGTGCTCAAGCTCCGGGTTGTAGCATACACATTTCAATGGAAGCCAGCTGGAAACTCGGTGACGGTGGCATCCTTGTAACCAGCCCCTGCTGGGCAACCCAGGGGTAGAAACGAGTACGTATGTGGAAGGACAGCTGCACCCTTTGACGATCTTTCTGGAGGAGTTCAGGGGATAGTCAATAACAGGGGCAGCTATTTGTCAACCCTCGGGGTCGGTACAATTCCAAGAATAACTTGATCATCACCACCTTGTGCGAGTGAATGACAACAATAGGAAGCTGCCTCACCTGCCTATTCACCGAGCTTCGGCTCTCGATGCGCATGTTGACACAGACTTGGAGGCTGTGTCGTCCAATCAAAGACGGCACCTCATCCGCTTTGCCAAGCCATTGTACAACGGTGCGCCGTGCATGTCGAGCCTTGCCATCCCTGGGAGGTGGAAGCCTGGTTGATCGGTGAAGGAGATGGTAAGGGTTTGGGAACTGGCCGGGCGTTTCTGCAGGCAGAATCAAATGCAGCATAGCATGAGAAGCAGAAGGTAAATCGAAGAAGGACAGGGGATGCCAGGAGGGCGGGCAGCGAGGAATTCCCATCCGAGCACCCCACTCCAAAACTCTAGGATCCCCAACCCCTGGTAAGAGACGGTGCCATTGGACCAGCAGCATAAGCTCTTGAGCTTGGGGTTAACAGAGGCTCTCGTGCGTCCGCAAACGTGAGCAAGAATTAGTCTCCCAGCTCGGCCCGTCTGTCTTCTATTTCCAAAAGACTGGCACATCCTTTTGATACACGTGCGGTTGCTGGCCGATTGCCATCGGCTTCGAATGGAATGCGGATAAATCGCCTCAACCTTGGGTAGCCTAATCGAGTCTTCTCGCTACGGGCAGCGCCCTCAGCGAGGAGCCCTTGGGCAGTCGTTAAAGCAGCAGTACGGGGAATGGGGCCTACCGGGGGGCGTCGGTTGAACGAAAACTGAGGGGGCTTGAGGGGTTGAGAGGGCTGCCATGTGCGGGCGGCGCACTCTCTCTCCACTGGACCCGTCATTCCATCTCGACCTCAAGCAGTACGCGCTCCAGATTCATCGTGGGTCTGTCTGCGTCCATGTCAACTGCCTGTCGGGTGTTTGTTTGGTCACGCCCGCCGAGATATTCACTCCCCCACGTCTCGTCTCGCCTCCATCAAAACAAGCCCACCATTGCCGTGCTGTTTTCTTCGCCCGCTTCTTCGCGGCAATATGCTGGACAGGGCTGTTTCCCACACAGCAAGTCTGCAGCAGAGCCTGGCAGCCCCTTTGCCAAGCGCGTGGTGAGTTGAGACATCGGTCGACAGGAGATGTGTTTTTGAAGGGGTCGATCAATGCGCGTGAGGCTACAAGGCGCTCTAGCAGAGAAAAGCAGGGGAGTGCCCCGGCTTAGGAAATCGGTCGGTGAGGAACTGAAAAGAAGGCTGGTGCCAGGCGCAGCCTCCAGGACAGATGGCGCCCATCAGGAACGGTCTTGGGCTTGTCATGTTTGTAGGTTCGTCGTGGGTGAGCAAAGGCCCAGAGGTTCAAGGGCAAGGGTCCAGACTCTCTTTTGTGACGGATCAGCACCTTTGACCACCACAAGAGAAATTCGAGAGGCCAAAGCTGGCACCACCAGCTGTTAGCCATCCTCGGGTGCAAAGCGCAACATGGTCTGACCTGGTCTCGTTTCCTCATTGGGACTGATAGAGTCGTACCAGGCTGATAGGCTTGCAGTTTGATGAGATCCCATCCTTCAACCAGCGCGATTAGCATCCAATGTCTGCGTGAAATACAGATACCTTCTGATGAGGACCCTGCAGATGGAACAATCATTCGAGGAAGGGTGTTCTGGAATTCCCATCATGACAATACCGACGAGACGGATCAATACGTCGTGGCTTCATCAAGCATGGATATGGATTGAAAAGCCCAACCACGACCGACACGTCTTCAACGCCCAAGGCACAAAAGCCCAAGCCGGGCCTAGGCTGCCGGCCAGCCGGTACGATTCCGTCGATTCTTTGGCCATCAACTGATATTCTGACCGGGCCGGAAGAGTCCATCGTCGCAGCCGAGTCTTGACGGCGGCTAAACCCATTAGTCGGTGTCGGTGCTGCTCTGATCCGTATGCGCTGCGTCTCCATCCGCCGAGACGCCGGAGTTGTTTCTTGCCCGTGTGTTTGGTATGAAGGTACGGAGTACAGACAGTATTGCTCAAGCGTGAATGGTGATGGATGCCATGAGTGTTATTTGATTATGGCAGGTCGGCCTCCCCCATGCTCCCTCCAGTTGATCCCTGCCCTCCTGCTGTAGCGTTGTAAGCCCGGTGCCCAAGAACAGCAGGTACTACCTGTACCCTCGCAGCCTACCGGGCTGCTGCTTGAGCTCCAGGCTTGCGGGAAAGTAAGGTAGGTACCAACCTTATACTTTCCCACCTCACCTCACCTCATCTCACTTCAACCTCTACTTTGCTGCCCCCCAGCGTTGGCCGTCATCTCCTCCTCATCTCCATACGCGCTGGCCATTCCCCAGGTACCTCATTTTTGTACAGTTGAGGAGAAGGGCAGATTCTACTCCTCGTCGTCGCTTCCAATTCCGCTTTCACTTGCGCGACCTAGACCACGTTCATCTTGACTCGAAAGACTCGACAGAGCAGAGACATCCACGAACGGTCGTCCTTTCAGCCAACGATATCCATCAAGACCGCCTCCTTGATTCGCACCCCTCGTTTTGGTACTAGCAGTTGACTCTGCGGACCCCCCTTGGACCCGGTCACAGCCAGCTCCGTCGAGCTCGACCCCCCAAGCCCAAGCCTCAAGCCTCCCCAAAAAAGGCTCCCTTCAAATTCTCCTCGTCCACCCGCTCTCACTCGTTCGTCGCGCCCACACCCCTGCTCTCACTCATTCTCCACTGCCAGCTCGTCCTCGCCAATTGGTGGCGCTCCGCCAACTGTGTCTCGTCATCGTCGAGGTGCCCTGGTGCCTTTGTACCTTTTTAGTTTCGCCCGCTCGCCCTGCCTCCACGAGCTCCCCAGCACCGTGCCGTAGCGGGTTACGGCCATCCATCTGGAGCGACAAGGTCTATCCATCCATCTCTTCTTCTCGCCTGCCCACCGCCAAACAATTCCCTTCCAGCCTCGACGTCGCTCCGGCACTTCTCATCCTGCATCTGTCAACTTCCTTCGACATCGCGGGCTGTTCCTCTGCCATCCTCCCGACAATACTTGCTCCGAAACCTTCAAGCCTCAAAATCGCATTACCTCGGCCGCCACAACCGATCTTCCCATCCGCCCTTGCCGCTCCCGATTGCCTCTGCACATAGCTACCTCGCCGTAATTCTGCCGCATTCAGCCGTTGATCATCATTGAATCCAACAAATTCGACACGAAACCACGTCTTTATACCGAGAAACCCATCCACGGCCATCTGATTCTCAGGGATCTTCACATCCCTCGACGCCGTTAGCTTTCCTGCAGACTACTGCGAACGTCATGCGCTTCTAAACGTCGTGTCGCGCGCACCCGAATTGAACCCGACCTCGATTCCACCATCCACCTCGCGTGAGAGAGCCGACTGTCGCTCGCGTCGCAATTTGGCAAAATGGGCGCCTGCATGAGCTCGAGTAATGAGGAGGCGGAGCAGAAGAAGAAGAGTCAGGCCATCGACAAGATCCTTGAAGAAGATTCTAAGCGACTACGGAAGGAATGCAAGATCTTGCTGCTAGGTAAGGGCGTTGATGGCAGCTCGTGCAGCGCTTCCCAAGGTGCATCGTATTGACCAAGCCATAGGTTCTGGTGAAAGTGGAAAGTCGACCATCGTCAAGCAGATGAAGATCATCCACCTCAAGGGCTATTCAGAAGATGAGCTGTATAACTATCGGCCCACTGTCTTCAAAAACCTCGTCGAGTGCGCAAAGGCCGTTATTATGGCCATGCAACAATTCGAGATCGAACCCCAAAACGAGGAGAACAAGGCGCACGCCGAGTTTCTGATGGAGTATCAAGCCGAATCGGGCCCTCAAGCACAGATTGACCCGAAAGTCGGCGCTGCAGTACAGTCGTTATGGAATGACCCAGCCAAGGATCTCCTCATGGAGCATCAGACAGAGTTCTATCTCATGGACTCGGCTGAATAGTAGGCTATGACCGTTTTGCCTTGGCACAAACAGATACTAATTTTGCTCCATCCAGCTTCTTCCAGGAGGCGCTGCGAATAGTGGGATCCGACTACCTTCCGAACGAGATGGATGTCCTCCGGGCGCGAACCAAGACAACAGGTATCTACGAAACGAGATTCCAGATGGGGCAGCTGAGCATCCAGTGAGTTTTGACCTGGACGTGAGCACCAAGTCTATGTATTAACGCCGATATAGCATGTTTGACGTGGGCGGTCAACGCAGTGAGAGGAAGAAATGGATACATTGCTTTGAGAATGTAACATCAATCATCTTCTGCGTGGCATTGAGCGAGTACGATCAAGTATTGCTCGAGGAAAGCAGTCAGGTGAGCTACAGCAAGGCTAGATCCCCGGCTCTTTGCGCTAACGTCAAGGGCAGAACCGAATGATGGAGAGTCTCTTGCTGTTCGACTCGGTAGTCAATTCGCGGTGGTTTATGCGAACTAGTATCATCCTGTTCCTCAACAAGGTGGATATCTTCAAGCAAAAACTGAGCAGGTCTCCCCTGGGAAACTATTTCCCAGATTACTCAGGCGGCAATGATGTCAACAAAGCAGCCAAGTATTTGCTGTGGCGCTTTAATCAGGTCAACAGAGCACATTTAAATCTGTACCCTCAGTAAGTGGCTCGCGTAAAGAAGCAGAGGGAATTGAGACTCTAACACTACATCAGCTTGACACAAGCAACAGATACGTCAAACATCCGGCTCGTCTTTGCAGCAGTCAAGGAGACTATCTTGAATAACGCACTTAAGGATTCGGGCATTCTCTGATTGCGAAGCGCTGCGCATTTTGATTTTCGACCATGATGTTAGGACACGGAACTGTGGGCTGGCGTCGAGAGCATTAACCGGAGTTTGGGGACATGGGAGGGAGGACGACTTCGACTTTACACGATCATTGTTTTATTCCGTTGCGACACAGCGTTTCCTCGTTTTGGACGCTCACCTCTGATCAATATCACTCACTCACGATCGAGTTCATTTCTCTATAATGCCGAGAGCGCGGCAACGATGGCGCAATGCGAGTGCTCGAGACGCAAGCGAACCCAATACAGCAGATGTCAACCAAGGCTTCCCGAACACAGACGCGCTCGGCACGAGGACGATTTCTTTGTTGGATTATATTTCTTGCTCTGCTCTTGCCTTGCTTTGTGGGCCAATAGACCTTGTGAGAAGTCGAGATTTTGGGCTCTGGATCTGTTCACCCAGGCATGGAGCTCTGTACGAAATGAGAGGGATGGTTATGAATAGCGCCTGAATGGCAGCGCGGAGCTGCTGGTGGTCGGTATCTGGTTTCGTCGTCTTGGGGCCAGGAAGGGGGTACAAAGCGGAGACATGACCCTAGTCACATTCCTGTGGCTTCTGTCGGGTTTTCAGAGAGATAGAGCAGGCGCATGGGTTCCAGGGAGAGTGGTGTTTACGGAGCTGGACGGGAACGTGTGCAGGGAAGCAGGTCAAGGTTGGCATGCTAATGGATTGCTTCATTTTGCGCAGAGTACATAGCCCTCGGTCCAAACGAGACGAATTGATGACATTGGGGGTGTGCGTCCGTCCACATTGGCCAAGCATGTATTGTTTGTTCGGGAGAAGGCAATCAGGGGCAAGTGAAAGAGGACCTTTGTTGGTGACGCAACGAGGCTGGTTATTGAGCCCAGGACAATAGGTTGATTACCTGGAAAAGGACGGAGGTGGCTTGCCCAAAGATGGTTGGATGATGGTATATCGGCCGAATGAAGACGCGGACTAGACAAAGATGGGCTTTTACCTTTTCTCCTTCCCCTGCTGCGGTATCTAATAGGCAATTAGGACAGAACACGTCCAATCACCTCATCTTGAGTATCGAGCTATCTCTACTCCCAGAGCAACAGAAGTTTCACGATGGCCAAGCCAGGCCGACCCAAGGTTTACATGCAATAGGGTTTTGGCCAGGAACAAGAGCTAGGCAGTGAGGCCTTTAAAGTTGCACTTAGAGGAAGAGGGGAGAAAGGCTTGGCAGATGGGGAGTGGCCGGGAGCTTTGACCGATCGATGGAGCAAGCCAGGTCGGTCAGTAGAATGTTAGTTAGCAGGAAGATGGCGTTGCGAGAGATGGATGTTGTGGCCCATGTGATGGAGGCTTGGAGGTCAGAGGTGGATTGGTCAACGGGGATTGGTCAACAGAGTAACCTCCACCTCGAGGTGGTTTCAAGAGAGGTTGACAATAAAGAAGCGGAATGGGGGAGGCGCGGCAGCTTGCATGAATACAATGGAGCTTGGTTTGGCAGCTCTCAACGGGGCTGCGTCAGGCCACAGCAACTCGACAGCCATTTGGTGCCGATCTTGGTGCTACATGCAGCATGTTGGAAGACGCCCAGGTGTACAGACAGTATGTGAGACGGGACGGCGAGCAGGGGGCAGAACGTTTTGCGCATCCGTTGCCATCCATATCTTGCTTCTCTGCCCCAACGGCTGGGTCTGCCTGGGGAGTTGAAAGGCCGAGCCCGGCAATGTTGGTAAACCGTCTCGGGCGTTACCCGCTGGCAACCTATGCTGGAACGCAAATAGTCACCGGGGGACGGGTGCATCAGAGACATTCTAGATCTTGGGGTTTGTTACGAGGCGTTCATGTGTACGTACCACAATCTTCAAAACGGTTGCTCCATGCTCCTGCGGCACCAGCAGCAGCATGTACGCAGTACGTACAGTATGTAGGCGACATGTAGGATGATAGCGCCGCCAATGTCTGGCGGTGGGATTGGGCTCGATTTGCCAGAAAAGGTCCGTCGCATGGATGGCAGACTCCGGACGCCGCGGCCCCGCAGTCCGTGGTGTAAGAGGGGGCCGCTAAGGCGAGCTTCCCTCGTGTGCTTGCTGGAGGGGGTCGATTGGGATGGAGCTCTGCTGCAACTGCAAGCTGCTGCTGGCTGGGATAATGGGGTCCGAGATACGGTCTGGATTCGCAGCCAGGACGACCATGGCTGGCATGAGGAGCAGCCATGAGCGCTGGCCCGTGAGAGAGAAGGGTCAACTCGCAAGGAATGCGGCGGTGCTCACCGGCCATTGCAGAGGCTCTGGAGGCTCTCTCTCAAGGCCAGCCGGGTGCTTGGTTGGAGGGGCAATGCTGAGGTTCCAGTCTTGTTGTTGCGTGGGTGTGGGCGTCTGCGGGGGACAGCATCCTATTCCAAGGTTTCATGCTGCAGCATCTCCCGTTCACTAGGGTAGGGTGTCGGACGCGATGCGATGCGATGCTGTGCTGCACGCGCAAGCTTGTGATTATGATAATGGCGGCTGCTTTGGAGGATCCAAAGGTGTGTGCTTCGACAATGTCGTCATGCCACCGAGTGCTGCCGCGGGGGAGGTATCATGGCTCTCACCAGCTGAGCACCACGGACGGTTACTGAAGGCATGGCAGGTATGTGCTCGCCGTCGTCGGGGTAGATCAGAGGGCGGCAGGACATTAGCGGGCAGACCGACGCAAAAATAGACGAGACGAGACCCGGGGAAGGGCTAGGAATTGATGCTATTGGCATTAGACCGAGGGGGTGGCCAAGAGGGGAAGTTAGACCAGCAGCTGTTGATGAGGCCGGTAGGTATGGAGATGGAGGGGGAGGTTGTCATGATGGAGGAGAAGCTCCTTCCCACATCCATTGCTCAAGCTACTACTTCATCCCTCCCTCCCTCCTCCCACGTTCTTCCTCTCCTCAACTCGGGTTGTCATCCTCACCGACTTCCTTTGATCTTATCCTGTCCTTTAAGCATCAATTTTTCCTTCCATTGACACATAACCCGCCTATCCGCCACCTCTTTTTGAATTCTTCCTCCCCCTTGTCATCTTTGCTCCATCTCTTTTGTTGACTCCACCGAGCTTCCCTGCTCCCCAAGCTTCGTCGGATCCGCCCAGCTCTAAGAAGCTTGTCGGCCGCTCGCTTCCTCCGACGGCTTCATCCGCTTCAGCTTCCTGTGTTCGGCGGATTTGCGCGAGAATTGTGCCATTCTCTGCCTCTACCGGACCATTCGGACAGACTCGTCCCTCATTGCTCCCCGAATCCCTATATATCTCTGGATTCTCACCCTCCACAAGCAGGGCACGCAACGAGCTACTGCGACTTTACCTTGCACCTCCGACCCCGCTCCCCCACCCTAAGCTGTGGTGCGTCTCGTCTCGCCTGGCCAGTCGCCTTATCTGACGTACTCGTTCTGTGGCATCAGTAAACCTTGAGGTAGGTGATCTGATCTGATGTTCGCTTTCGCAGAGACAAGGGACCTGCGAGTCGCCATTACTTAACTCGAGTCGCGGGCTTGCCCCGAGGCCACCAACTCTTGTTCTTCTTCTCTTCTCAATTCTTCCCTCCTTCACCACTTGAGCGTCATTTGACTAACAAGCGAGTGAAATCCGCAAAGGTTAGCAGCAATGGCGTCCGAACAGCAGCGATTGCCTACCCGTGAGAGGCGCCCCTCCACGAGTGCCCCCATCGTCGACATCCAGGGTGCCGTTGGCCCCGCAGGCATCTCTCGCCCCAAGCACACCCGAACCGCGACGGGCTTTGGCCCTGGAGAGATCAAGAGCTTTGAAGGTATGTCTTTATCTCTATTTAATTAATTCGGCGTTTTCCTTGTACTTTGGTGCCATTGTGCCGTGTCAATGGCTCTCGCCGCTCTCTGTCGCGGGCATTCTGTTCCCTCAACCTGTGCGGCTCTGAGCTCTCGCTTACACTTTCCGAATAGCTTCGATCCCCGAACCCCAGCGCGAAGCATGGAAGCGCAACCAGTCGAGTGGATTCACTGGCAAAGATGGCTTCGAGAAAGAGGTTGTCCGTCATGTCGAGACCACCCTTGCCCGGTCCATGTTCAACTGCGACGAACATGCTGCCTACTCTGCCACCAGTCTAGCTTTCCGTGACCGCCTGATTCTTGATTGGAACAGAACTCAGCAGCGTCAGACATACCGCGATTCCAAGCGTGTCTACTACTTCAGTCTTGAGTTCCTCATGGGCCGCGCCCTGGACAATGCCATGCTGAACGTGGGCCAAAAGGACACTGCCAAGGGTAAGAAGGAATAGGTCCAATCTTATGACTGCCTGCTGACATGAACGTGTAGCCGGTCTCGCCGACCTTGGCTTCCGAATTGAGGACATCATCAGCCAGGAAAACGACGCTGCGCTGGGTAACGGTGGCCTCGGCCGACTCGCCGCTTGTTTCCTTGACAGTCTGGCCTCTCTCAACTACCCTGCCTGGGGTTACGGTCTTCGATATCGATATGGAATTTTCAAGCAGGAAATCATCGACGGATACCAAGTCGAGGTGCCTGACTACTGGCTCGACTTTAACCCCTGGGAGTTCCCCCGACACGACGTGACTGTCGATGTAAGTACATAGGATGAAATGAAGTAACTGTTACTAACCTAGACTCTCAGATCCAATTCTTCGGCAACGTCAGAAAGACTACTGATGAGGATGGCAAGACCCTCTCCATCTGGGAGGGTGGTGAGATCGTCCAGGCCGTCGCCTACGATGTCCCCATCCCCGGATATGATACGCCCACCACCAACAACCTGAGACTTTGGTCAAGCAAGGCCTCAGGCGGAGAGTTTGACTTCCAAAAGTTCAATAACGGTGACTACGAAAGCTCGGTCGCGGATCAGCAGCGAGCCGAGACTATCAGCGCTGTTCTGTACCCCAATGACAACCTTGAGCGAGGAAAGGAACTTCGCTTGAAGCAGCAGTACTTCTGGGTTGCCGCCTCCCTATACGACATTGTTCGCCGTTTCAAGAAGGCTAAGCGCCCCTGGAGGGAGTTCCCTGAACAGGTGGCCATCCAGCTCAACGATACCCACCCTACACTAGCCATTGTTGAGCTGCAGCGAATCCTCATCGATATTGAACACCTCGAATGGGATCTCGCTTGGGAGATCGTGACTAGCACTGTAAGTTCTAATGTTATATGAGTTAGGCTGTTACAGTCTAACAATTCTCTAGTTCGGCTACACCAACCACACTGTTCTGCCGGAAGCTCTTGAGAAGTGGCCCGTCGGTCTGCTCCAGCACCTTCTGCCAAGGCATTTGCAGATTATCTACGACATCAACCTCTTCTTCCTCCAGAAGGTCGAGAAGGCCTTCCCCAACGACCGAGACATCCTTCGCCGTGTGTCCATCATCGAGGAGTCCCAGCCTAAGATGGTTCGGATGGCGTACCTCGCCATTGTCGGATCTCACAAGGTCAACGGTGTCGCTGAGCTGCACTCAGACCTCATCAAGACCACCATCTTCAAGGACTTTGTCGAGATCTATGGCCCTGACAAGTTCACCAACGTGACCAACGGTATCACTCCTCGCCGCTGGCTCCACCAGGCCAACCCTCGTCTCTCTGAGCTCATCGCCTCCAAGTGTGGTGGCAATGGTTTCCTGAAGGACCTGACGACTCTCAACCAGCTCGAGAAGTATGCTGAAGATAAGGAATTCCGCAAGGAGTGGTCCGAGATCAAGTACGCCAACAAGGTCCGACTTGCTAAGCTCATTAAGACCGCCACCGGCGTTGTTGTGAACCCATCGTCGCTTTTCGACGTTCAAGTCAAGCG